GTAGTGGTGATAAGTATAGCATAGGTCTTGAACAATGATGCTCTGAGTTGCCAGAGTAGTTAACGATGGAGGAGGCCTAGGCAGCAAGGCAAAGCCAACTATATTCGTCTTCTATGGTTGAGCTTCCTGGAGGGTGTAAGTCACAGTCTCTTTGAGAAATGGCAGAAAAACAGGCTTAGTTGTGCATGCCTTCCCATCCTTCCTCACAACTGCACTAACGCCGGCTCTGAGGCGCAATTGCACTGAAATTGAAATTAAATACCTCCAGAGGTACTCCTTGTAAAACTTTGTCCCTCGACTTGACCTTTTGCTATTTCATAAACATGTTTCACGGAGATCATTCCTGCCGAGTTCACCTGTAAATGACAAGACGAATAGAGGTTTTCAAAGGTAGAAAAACACTAGACAGAAAAAAAGAAAACAAAGGCAAAAAGTACCAGGACTCTGTTTTCCTCTCGCAATTCCAGCTGCCTGCTTCAACAGCCATGAGGTTGTTGGTGTACAAATCTCCTAAGTCGTATGTTCGATCAGGTTTTATTGAAATGCGTGTAGGAAGTGGTACGCCTGGAAATATCAACGGCCGATTCACCGGAAAACACTTGGAGGGCTCATGTGGAGCAAAAACATAAACGCCTCCACGTTTACACCCCAATGGCTGCTTACAAACATTTGGCTCAACTTTACAACAGGAAAGCTCAAACACTGAGCATTACATGACTGCTATTCAACCAAGAACTACCAAAAAATCGCAATGAAAACAGGGCTCTCACGCTGCTGGGAAGTTTTTATTGGAAAGCAGACCCCCAAACTTCCTCTATTGGTAAGACCACCCTCCCTCTTCCCCTACCTACCACCTTCCTACTTCTTCCTGCTTCCTACACTTTTCCGAAATTGTTTTCTCGCGCGGGAACGGCTGTTTGCGGCAGCGCAGGTAAGGGGAGGGGCAAGCGCGATTGGGACGTGCTATCCAGCGCCTGAGAAACGGGGGAAACAAACAACGAAAAGTCAACAACCCACAAAAACGAACGAACAACGGCACGAGACGAAGACATCACAAAAAAGGTTGTCTGACCGCCGATGGCAGCAGCCCTCTTGGGGCCCTAGATACAATGCACTCTCAAATCGCGACAAGAATGCGGCCCTGCCTCCTCCTTCCTTCCCCACTTTCCTCGCCACCGCCCACAATGGGGTCAGTCCTCAAGGTTAAAGGGAAAGCGCGCTCCCAGTGAACAGGATAACCGACATCAGATAAAATTTTTGCTCATGCGAATGAGGACATCCCGCCTGCGGAGATTCTTCCTCCAGCTACGGGCGTGCCATGACCAAAGCGACGTAAGAAATTTTCTTTTATTTTTTTGAAAAAAGAAGTCTAACGTTTAATCATTTTCCGCAAGGCCCACTATAATATTTTAATGTAAAGGAAAACGATAACTCTGCTTTTATTGGTGCGAGTCTGCCTTGAATTGAATTCTTCGATAATGCAACATATGGCACGTTCAGGACCGAGCACCGCTGACCAAGCTTGCCGGACCCAACGAGGAGCAGCGGACGCCATTATGGTGGCTCTGGAATAATTAAATGTTGCGCCAACAAAGGAACTAGTCTCCAATGAACAACTACGAAAGATTTCATATGATGGACCTGAGTGGCCTGACTACTTTGACAAAAGGAAATTCCAACTGAAAGCTCTGTCGAATCTCCTAAAACTAAATCCCGAACTGGCTGAAGATTTTTCGGATATCATAGCGCTTCCCCTCCGAAAAACGACAGAGGTGCACAATACGAACTGGTGTGACACCACAAGCCTAAATAAGAAGTCTCGGTACGACCCCTCCCTTCCCCACACCTACCTACCAATTTCCCACATTTTCCAGTCCAGTTTTTCACCCAAAAATTTTCCGTCGAGCGGGGGGGGGGTACATAGCCAATGTGAAACGGAAAATTTCTTAAATTATCCCCAACTTCCTACCACTTTTTCCGGAATTTACCGAGAATTTTCCTACTTTTCTCCAAAAATTTTGCTGTCGAGCAGCAAATTTCTCTCAGCCCGACATACGATCCCGCTCCCTCCCCAGCGGATAGTACGACCCCCCCCCTCTATGTGTTTCACACAACGATGCTGTAGCCTGTCCACGTCGAACGCGCGACCGAAGCGCTGCCGTCGCGAAGTCTGAATGGTGCCCAAGGGATACGGCCTCAGGATGTCTGTCACTCACGCAGCCTTCCTTTCTCCTTCCTTCTCTCATTCTCTCGTTCTTATTTTCCTCCCTCCAGAGATTTCCCCAGATCAACTATAAGATCCTATGAGGAAATACCTTCAGACGAGAATATCCGGTTGACAGAAGCTGTAATCATAAGGGATACAGAGGCGCGGCCGAATCCCCCTCCCCCTTTCCTCAACTATGTCAGCGCCGTTACTCAGTACCCTAACCATGAATAAGTCATTGCATTTCTAGCGCGAGGGCTACTTGGCACAAATTTGGCAACTCCTCCAGCTCAACCCCACTGAACCCCAGCAACTCTTTATAAGCTCACCGTATAGGAGTTATTCAGCGCCATAATCACTAAAAATGCACTTTTTGTGGAGTGAGCGCCATTTGGCGGCAGTTTAGCGCCGACTCCAGTTTGGCGACATCACTTTTCCCAACGAAATCTCTATGAACCTATATGTAAAGGCTACTGAGTGCCGCGACCACCTCTCTCTTGGTGCCGAGATGAAAAAACCTCACGTTCGTCACCGTGGCCCTCGACAACACGTATGATTTTTCAGAGAAAAGTTCGCAATACGACCGAGATTGCAGTGGGGCAGGATTTTCCATTTCAAAATTGATATATTAAACTTTTTTCGTACTTCAGTCCTGTATTCAGAACGTAACTGTACTTAAAGCGCGTATTAGAACTTTATAAAACGCCAATGATACAATCCAAGAACGCAATCACGACCATTAAAGCGTCATCAACAATTTGATATCACAGTGGTTGAAACATACTTGATATTAGTTTTGAGTAGAGCACCATGTACAACTTTTACAACTTCCTTTTTCCTTACACGTGCTACCTTACTTGCCATGGTTTCTGAAAAAAAAACTGTTAACCATGTGCTACCAGAGTTGAGAATGTCAAAGAAGAAACAAAAGGACTTTCAGGAACGTTTCAAAGGACAATATGTAAGTTATCACATTGATGCAAACATGTTCAACTGCAGCAAGAAAAGAATTAAAAGCGTTTC